GAGAAGAAACAAAACACAGCTCAGGGTGGATCACAACGTCACCACACACACTGAGCACAAGCAAACGGCCACAAGGCCAGTCCACATGCAGAGGTATATAAGCAACAAGAACAGTACAGTGATCTCTACCTAGCAAGAGCAAGCATGCAGGTATATATATATAGATCACAGTACAAGCAGAGACTACAGCAAGTGTGAAAACGTAGGCACAAGGCCCAACAAAGTACAAAAGCGCTGATGGTCACCAGACGGAAGTGCCTTGGTGAATATATTAGCAGTGTTGGCCCGAGTGGCCACGTGAGCAAGGCGAAGCTGACCCCGCTGCTGCAACTCTCGAGCCAGGAAGTAACGCAGAGCAATGTGCTTCGTTTTGTGCTCCAGTCTGTGCTCCTGACACAAGGCAATGGCGGCCTTGTTGTCTACGTACAGAACTGGAGGAGAACGAGGCCGCTCTCCCAGGTCGGTCAGCAGGTAGGTGAGCCAGCGTAACTCCTGTGCAGCCATGGCTGTGGCGTATATCTCAGCCTCACAACTGGAGCTGAGAACAGAAGACGAGCGTGTAGACCGCCAAGAAACAGAACCGAAGCCAAGGCTGAAAGTGTAACCCTGTGACGACCGCTGTGTAGCCTGGTCGTCAACCCAAGAAGCGTCTGAGTGTCTAGTGAGGACAACTGAGCTCCGCCCTCCAAGCACGAGCCCCATGCCCGATGTACTGCACAAGTTGCGCAGTACCCGCATCCATGTGCACCTTTCGGTGCCGACCAGGAGCCACGTAGCGAGCCAGAAGGCCAAGAGGGTATGCAAGGTCAGGATGAGTGCAGGTCATCAGGTACATGAGGCAGCCCACTAGCTCTGGGTACGGGCCACTCGGCTCTACGGACTCGTCCGAAGGTGGAGCTGAGAGCGAGTGGCCTGTAGCCAGAGGAGTGTGTTGTGGCGAGGACTAGGTGAAGCCGAAGCGCTGAAGGACCTGCTGCACCATGTGTGACTGAGTCAGTGTGATGGTGCGGCGTGCTCTGTCCCGGGTGATCTGCAAGCCAAGGTAACTGCGCAGCTCACACAGGTCTGTGCACGTGTGTCTCTTCTGCAGCTCCGACTTCACCAGGGCGAGAGCCTCAGTGTCAGCAGTGGCAAAGACCAAGTCGTCGACGTACACGAGGATGTAGAACGGCGGCAGCGAAGTGTCGGTGCGCAGAAACAGCGACCGGTCAGCAGTGGAAGGAGCAAACCCAAGAGCCGCAAGTGTCGTCCTCAGTGTGTCGTGCCACTCACGTGGCGCCTGGCGGAGACCGTAGACCGGCCGCCGGAGGCTCCACTGGGCACCAGGAGGGAACGACCCAGTGAAGTCAAGAGAGTGAAGCTCGTAGTCACGCTGAGCGGCAACGTGCAGCAGCACCCGAAGAGTGGTCATCTTCGGGGTGGGGGAGAAAGTCCGGAAGAAGTCAACTCCCTCCCGCTGACTGAAGCCTCGAGCAACGTAACGAGTCTTGAAGACAGGCGGAGAACCTGGCGGCCGCTTCAACCTGAAAATCCACATGCCGTCGACGATGTTCGCCCCAGGAGGGGGAACCTCGTCGACGTACGTGCCTGTGGACTTCCAGGATGCCATCTCTGCGTCCATGGCTGTCTGCCACTGAGAGGAGTACTCACCCGCGATCGCCTCAGCGTAAGAGCGCGGGGTCGGGATGTCTGGTGCATCCGGGTCTCCCTCAGGGGCAAGCAGCATGGCCACGAGATGAGGTGCAGCGGCCGCAAGACACTCAAGGTCCTCCTGTCCGTCATCAAGGACGTCCGTGCCAAGAGCACACTCACCCCCGACGGACGGAGGACAGACATACTCAGACTCAACAACAAGACTAGCAGCGTAGTCTAGACGACAGGCAGCAGCAAATTCAACCAGCTCAGCGACAAAGGCAGACGCAGCAACAGACTCAAACGACGGGTCAGTGACAACAGTGGCTAGCAAACGCATGACAGTAGGGTGCTCAGCACGAAACCGGTCAGATTCAGGGTCCGCAACGATAGGCAGAGAAGACGCAGGAGGAGACGACAGAGGAACACGCTGCGGAGGAGAGGAAGGACGACGGACTACGAGGTGGGTGCCGGGGACAGCCGACTGACGCGGACGAGGAACACGACGACCGGAACGACCAGAACGGACAGGCGAGGCAGGACGCGACGCAGGCTCACGACGCTCAGTCAGACCCCCTGTCTGCTCGGCGTAAGGAGAAGGAGCAGGCAGCGGTGAGCCAGGCTGTAACGGAAGACCAGTGGACGAAGGGAGACTAAGAACCTGGCGAAGCATAGAGTCAGGCGGTGGCTGAGACGACGGAGACGGTGGAGCGAAGAACAGGCGTGGCTGTGCAGTGCCACCAGCACCAGCAGCTCTAGTACCCCCTGCAGCTCCAGCACCTCCAGCAGCTCCAGAACCCTCACCGCCAGCTCTTCCAGGACCAGCTCCACCAGCAGCAGCACCCCCAGAATCAGCACCTCCAGTCCCAGGGTCTCCAGCCTCAGTGTCTCCAGCAGCAGCACCCCCAGACCCAGGGTCTCCAGCAGTAGCACCCTCAGGCTCAGCAGCACCTCCAGCCCCAGCAGCTCCAGTACCTCCAGTACGAGCACCTCCGGGACCAGCACCACTCCCAGCTCCAGTGACGTCAGCAGAAGTACCTCCAGCGGCAGAGCCCCGAGCTCCAGAAGCGCGACCCTGACGGCGACCGTACCAGTCGTGCAGCTGCTGTGAGGTGAGAGGCACACGCGGACGAAGGCGGCTACTCCAAGGAGACCGCGCAGCAGCAGACTCAGAATCCTCAGGCGTCGCACCCCCAGGCTCCTCACGCTCGGGCTCAGCACCTCCAGACACAGCACCCCCAGGGTCAGTACCTCCAGGCTCCTCACGCGCAGGCTCAGCACCTCCAGACTCCGCACCCCCCGGCTCAGCACCTCCTGGGTCCTCACGCGCAGGCTCCGCACCCCCAGGCTCAGCACCCCCAAGCTCCGCACCACCAGGCTTAGTACCCCCAAGCTCCGCACCCCCAGGCTCCGCACCCCCAGGCCCAGCACCCCCAAAGATAGCACCACCCCCAGCAGGACCTGAGTCACCAGTCACCTCAACAGGCGCAGGCACGGGAGGGTCTACCTAAGAAACACCTGAAGGAGCAGGACCTGGCGCGGAGAGGGGGTCTACCTGGGGAGGACCTGGGGCGAGAAAGAGCGGCGGGGGGGGGGGGCGAGGGGCAGTGCGGTAGGGAAAGAGACGGTAGAAGGGGATGAACTCGTCAAAGGTGACGTCCTGAGATGGAAAGACACGACGTGAGGCGGGGTCGTAAAACTGCCAGCCAGGCGCGTCAGGGACAAAGCCAAGGAAGACGCAGGGAATGGCGCGAGTGGAGAGCTTGTCCGCGGTGGTATCGGGGACAAACGCACGAGCACCCCAGACCCGGAAACGCGACGCATCGCCAACCTTCCCCATCCACAGCAGTGTGGGCGAGGTCTCCGGCAAGGAGACACGGGGCCAGAGGTTGAGCTGATGCGCGGCGTACCGGACCGCAAACGGCCACAGAAAATGGGGGGCAGCCGCATGGATCATGGAGGTACGAGCGACCTCCATGACTAAGCCGATGCGGCGCTGCGGAGAGGCCGGAAGCGTGAACGTCTGACGGATGCCGTGCTCCGCACAGAAGGCTGCCAAGAGGTCGGAGGAGAACTCACCACCTCTGTCAGAGTGCAGACGTAGGACAGGAATGTCCGAGTGGAACCGCTCGCGGAGCTGGAGACGAACAGCGTGGATCCAGGGGATCAAAACATCAGAGACCTCCCCCTTGCGCTGCAAGGGGAAGACCGTGGTGTAACGCGTGTAGTCGTCGACGACCAGCAGGAAGTACCGCTCGTGGCCCTGTCCACGGACGCGGGCTGGGCCCCACACGTCCAGGTGGAGAGTCTGTAGGGGAGCCTCTATGGGAGGGAACGAGGAGTGAGGAGCGGCGCGCTGCCGCCCCTCGACGCAAGGAATGCAGGGCGACGCAGGCGAGGGAGGGAGGGCAGGCAGAGACCTGGGAAGGTCAGAGACCAGGAAGCGAGAGTGCATGCTACGAAGGCGAGGCAGGGAGGGGTGACTAAGGCGGTGGTGCTACAGGAGAGTGTCGTGCGACAGGCGGCGACACTCACACTGGGTAGCTACCTGAGCAGACGCGTACAGCTGGGGAGACAAAGGGACGTAGCGCGACGTAGTGGTGAGGGTGTACAGACTGGACCCAGGCGCATGTGTAAACGTGGCCTGGTGACGGCCGGTTCGGGAGCAAGTGCAGATCGCCACACGCTGTCCTCCAGGAGTAAAGGTGTCAACTCAGTGATCCTGAAGGACGGCGTTGCTCACCAAGTTCGTAGAGAACGAGGGGAGGTGGAGACTAGACAGCTCACCAGACGGGACCGCCGGACACGGAAGCACAGTGGAAGACCGTGCAAGCACTGGGCCCCCAGAGGGGTCAGCCAGTGAGACAGGGACAGGTGCAGGGAGGGGAGTGACTGTGGTACTGTCGCGAAAGAAACAGCGGGAAGCACCAGAGTCAAGTGTAAAGGTGTGCAAGGCCTGTGCGGACGCAGTACCAGGGGGAGCAGACTCACAAGCACCTGGCGCTATACCTGGCGCTATACCGGGGTCAGGCGGCACACACAAGTAGCAGTCACCCTCAGCACTAACAGTCAATGCATACATGGCAGCAAGAATAGCATCATAGTCAAGATCAAAGATAGGTACATCACGCCTAAGCAGGTCTGCCCAGTTGGGGAACTCAGTAGCATCAGAAAACTTGACGCGCCAGGTGTCGCTAAGCCGAGCGAAGCAGCGGTACTCAGTGTGAAAGCCGGTGCACTGACGACCAGCGCGGGGACCTGCGCGAATGATATAGGGGCAGCGACCAGGACCCCCAGACGCCCCACGCCCAGGCATACCAGTCATGAAGCTGCTGGGAAGTGGGGGTCTGGGGCTGACGCTACTGCGGCTACTGCTGCTGCTGCTGCTTCTGCTTCTGCTGCTGCTGCTGCTGTCCCTGGCCACCACCGGCCTCACCCAAGCCCCCACCACCGCCGCCACCACCACTCCCCCCTCCGCCACCACCGCCGCCGCCACCGCCACTGCTCCCGGCACCACCACCGCCCCCACCACTACCCCCACCCCCACGACCACTGCCACTGCCTCCATCGCCCCCGCCGCCTCCACCACCGCCCCCTCCACCGCCACGTCCGCCACCCTTGCCACCCTTGCCTCCCCTGAAGCCGGTGCGCTCCCCACTCGGAGCTGAAGCAGCTGCGACCTTCTCAGCACCAAGGAGGTCGACAGCAGCAGCTGCGGAGGCGTAGGAGGGGGTAAGAGGGGAGGGGGAGCACCCCTCAAAGAGGGGAGTGCGGGGAGTACCACGAGCAGCACCTACAGCTAGATTGTTCTTCTCGGCTGCTAGGAGGTGCTTCTCGAGGTCGTCGACAGTGAGAGAAAGGGGGTCAAGGGCGAGGAAGTGGTCCCTGACTGAGCGAAGGGTGTCAGGGAGGCGGGTGATGAGGAAGTAGAGAGTAAAGTACATCGGGGGGTGGTTCTCTGCGAGGAACTCGGCTGGAAGGGCGGCACGAAGGCGAGTGTCACTAGTGCGTAGGTGAGAGATGAGGTCCTCAGCGGTGGTAAACGAGGACAGGTCGGGGAACAGGTAGGGTTGCATAAGTCGGCCGAGGGCTGCAGTGGCCGGCAGCAGCAGTGCAGGCAAGGCAGCGGAGATGGCGCGCAGGGCAAGCAAACACGCTTGGCAGGCAGGCGCTCAAGGCAGGCAGGCGCACTTGGTAGGCAGGCGCTCAAGGCAGGCAGGTGCTCAAGGCAGGCAGGCGCTCAAGGCAGGCAGACACTTAAGGCAGGCAGGCGCTTTGGCAGGCAGGCGCTCAAGGCAGGCTAAGACAGGCAGTCGCGCGGCTCACGGGCGGCTCATAGGCAGGGCACGTGCGGCTGCGGGCTGCGCGCGGCTGCTGGCTGCGCGTGGCGACGGGCTGCGCGCGGCTGCGGGCTGCGCGCGGCTGCTGGCTGCGCGTGGCTGCTGGCTGCGCGTGGCGACGGGCTGGGCGCGGCTGCGGGCTGCGCGGGCGGGGCCTAAGCGGGCTGCGCGCGGGCGGCTTAAGCGGCGCGCTAGTCGGCGGTAGGCTACGCGGGCGGCTGACGTGGTGCGCGGGCCTAAAACGTGTTGCGCGCGGGCTGCTTAAGCGGCGCGCGCGGGAAAAAAAAAAGGGCCGCGCGCGTGCAGCCGAGGCGCGCGCGGGCAGGAGGCAAGGCAAGTGAGGTAACGTTGTAACCGGTGGGCCCTAATCTTAGGTCCTAAAGACCTATTGCTCTAGATACCATCTTAGAAACTATAGAGGAAAGGATGATGCATTAGGTCAAGGTTGGGGTACAAAACTAGAGAGTCGAGATGATTTGTGTACCCCCTAAGGCTAGCCCCAATATAGCCTAGATAAATGACAAGCATATGTTTTGACAGTCTTCAACTGTGCTTTATTGCACGGTCCACTATTAGTAGACAGAAACCAATTTCTGTACATTTTTTTAACAGCAACATTGGATGTTATAGTGTATGGTAGAGAAAAACCAGGTGGACAATGTGAATATAAAAATAACAGGGCTGAAAGGAGTTTATCCCAGAAAATCAGAAGTGCCAGAAATCAGGAGTTTATCAGACTAGTGGGACATCAGAAGCCGTGGCGAGCAGATGTGGAGCACGGAACGGACATGAGCGCTTCACATGGGATGGGAGCATGGGCAGGTGGTGAGATCAGTCCCAGTCCCCATCGGCATCAAAGACCCCTGCATCCCTCATCTCCGAGTAGTATGCATCCTCCACCTCCGTATCCTCGTCCTATGAGGGGCGTTGAGGAGAAGGGGAGGGCAAGGGGAACGAGGAAGAAACGCGTTTGCAGGCAGGTGGGTGAGTGCGGGTGGAAACAATGGGCGGTGACAGAGCCAGCAGAGTGTGGCACGCTAAGGCGAAGAAAAGATGTATTGGGAGTGGCAATTGGGGGAGGTGGGAATTGGAGTTGTGTGGGCAACACGATGGCGTGACACGGCAGCTTGTTGACGTAAGCAGTGTAGCCGTGGCTCACATAGGTTGGCAACATGATCCACCACACCCTGTGCTGGCAACATGATCCACCACACCCTGTGCTGGCAACATGATCCACCACACCCTGTGCTGGCAACATGATCCACCACACCCTGTGCTGGCAACATGATCCACCACACCCTGTGCTGGCAACATGATCCACCACACCCTGTGCTGGCAACATGATCCACCACACCCTGTGCTGGCAACATGATCCACCACACCCTGTGCTGGCAACATGATCCACCACACCCTGTGCTGGCAACATGATCCACCACACCCTGTGCTGGCAACATGATCCACCACACCCTGTGCTGGCAACATGATCCACCACACCCTGTGCTGGCAACATGATCCACCACACCCTGTGCTGGCAACATGATCCACCACACCCTGTGCTGGCAACATGATCCACCACACCCTGTGCTGGCAACATGATCCACCACACCCTGTGCTGGCAACATGATCCACCACACCCTGTGCTGGCAACATGATCCACCACACCCTGTGCTGGCAACATGATCCACCACACCCTGTGCTGGCAACATGATCCACCACACCCTGTGCTGGCAACATGATCCACCACACCCTGTGCTGGCAACATGATCCACCACACCCTGTGCAGGCAACATGATCCACCACACCCTGTGCAGGCAACATGATCCACCACACCCTGTGCTGGCAACATGATCCACCACACCTTGTGTGCCGGCTCATTCTACAGGCCTCGGCTTATTGCCAGCCTATGCCATGTGTGCACGCATGTGTGCAGGCATGGTTGCAGGCACGGGCGTGGGCATGTGTGCAAGGATATGTGTAGGGATGGGTGCGGGCACAGCAGCAGTGGATGGAGGGAAGGAGGGGGCACCTTGAAGAAGTCGGCCAGGAAGGTGATGTAGAGTAGCGGCGGGAAGAGCGCCCAATACACACACACTGCTAGCCCTCGCATGCTGCACGGGAAAGGGGGCACAGCATCGCAGCACCCACGCATACCCATCCATTCCCATGCAAATCCATGCATGCCAATGTGCACGCATGCCCATGCAAACCGATTGATGGTCATGAGGCGGAGTGTTTGGCGGCACTCACAGAACTATCCAAGAAACAAATGCCATGAATAGTGCATGTGTGGGGCGAGGAGAGAGTGCAAATGCACTGACCAGAGGGCGGCGGGCACGTGGAGGGCGAGGAGGAGAGAGGCCAGGGCGGAGGCAGAGTGCAGCAGCAGTAGCAGCAGCAGGTAGCGGTGGAAGGCCGGGCGCGCTGCTCACAGCAAGGTGAGGGGCCGGGAGGGTGACGAAAATGAGAGAGGCGTGCATGTCATGAGTGCATGCCATGAGTGCATTTCATGAGTGCATGTCATGAGTGCATGCCATGAGTGCATTTCATGAGTGCATGCCATGAGTGCATTTCATGAGTGCATTTCAAGAGTGCATTTCATGAGTGCATGTCATGAGTGCATGCCATGAGTGCATTTCATGAGTGCATTTCATGAGTGCATGGCATGAGTGCATGTCATGAGTGCATTTCATGAGTGCATTTCAAGAGTGCATGGCATGAGTGCATGTCATGAGTGCATGCCATGAGTGCATTTCATGAGTGCATTTCAAGAGTGCATGGCATGAGTGCATGTCATGAGTGCATGCCATGAGTGCATTTCATGAGTGCATTTCAAAAGTGCATTTCATGAGTGCATGTCATGAGTGCATGCCATGAGTGCATTTCATGAGTGCATTTCATGAGTGCATGGCATGAGTGCATGTCATGAGTGCATTTCATGAGTGCATTTCAAGAGTGCATGGCATGAGTGCATGTCATGAGTGCATGCCATGAGTGCATTTCATGAGTGCATTTCAAGAGTGCATGGCATGAGTGCATGTCATGAGTGCATGCCATGAGTGCATTTCATGAGTGCATTTAATTCAAGAGTGCATTTCATGAGTGCATGCCATGAGTGCATTTCATGATATCAGAGTGCACCGCATGAGTGCATGCCATGCAAGGTTTGAAAATATGGTCCGCTTATTACGGTAAATAAATAATTATTAAACAAAAATTGGATTTTTTTGTTAGAAAACTCTTGTCACCAAGAAAAAAAAAAACCGGAAAACAAGGTCGGATACATTTTCAATCATGCCCACAAACGCACACATGCAAGGAGGGGTTCATCTTCTTCGTCCTGACACCTTTCGCCTTCAATTTGGTCCCACAAATCGGCCGTTTTTTTTTTTTTTTTTTTTTTTTTTTTTTTCAAACAAAAAACATCTCCTGGAACCATTTTAGACCGTTTTTTACGGCCCTTTTTTACAGTAACGTTTCTTACGGTAAAATTCCATACGGTCGTTTTTTTAAACCCTCATGCCATGAGTGCGTGCCATGAATGCATGCCATGAGTGCGTGCCTACAGAATACAACGTGCATGCCTCTTCACTTCGCCCACATCTCACCCTCGCCCACATCTCACCCTCGCCCACATCTCACCCTCGCCCACATCTCACCCTCGCACACATCTCCCTGCTTCCTTCACTACTCTTGCTCTCCACGCACCTCTTCACCCACCCGCCTCGCTCTGCCCCGGCTACTGCAGCATTCTAATAAGACAGCGAATGCCACCCACCAGGGAGGGCGTCGCGCCACTGGGAGAGTGGCAGGGAGAGCAACGCGGCGTAGACGGCGGCACGGAGGGCGTCGTGGGCGAGCCAGAAGAGCCACACGGCGGGCGGCGTGGCAACGGCAAGGGCTGGGTGGAAGAGCGGCAGCGTGTGGTGGAACACCAGCGACGCCTGCCATGGCCATGGCGCACGCAGCGGGGGACGGGGGGGATGGAGGGGGTGGTGGTGGCAAGAAGGTGCGGTGGCAGGGCACAGAGAGGAAGAGAGGAAGAGGCGTGTAATAATGAGAAGGGAGGGAAGGAGAGAGTGGAAGGGGAGAGGCATGCAAAGGGGAGTATGGGCAGACGGCTCTGTGCACAGTGCATGGGAGGAGGGCGTTGGGGGACGGCAGTGGGGAGGGCAGGGCTGCAGTGGCAGAGGTACCTAGTTGGCCATGCGGGACATGCTGCTGCTTCCACACCTCACCTTGACTGCCACGTCAGCGCCAGCGAGGATGGCAGCGATGACAGCGGTGCGCAGCATGGCCTCGGAGGCGGACATGCGGACGCCGTGCATGAGAAAGAGCAGCACGCCCGCCGCCAGCCACGCCCCGCTCAGCCACGCGCTGCTGGTGGCCGGCGCAGCAGCCTCAACTGGTGAGAACAGCAGCAGCTGGGCGGGGAGAGGCAGGGAGAGGGAACGTAAGAGGGTGAGCACGGAGAACGTGGGGGTACATGGTGTTTGTGAGGAGGATGCAGGTGGGGTGATTTTTATGTGAAAGGGCAAGCGAGCACGCAGCCAATCCGGCAGCTCAGCTCATCGGGTGCCGTTCTCGGTGCAGGTGAGTGGCAGCTTGCCACGCAGGTCCTTGGTTCATTGAACCTCCTGGTTCACACACTGTCTCCGCCATGACTGTGTCACTCCGCCATGACTGTGTCACTCCGCCATGACTGTGTCACTCCGCCATGACTGTGTCACTCCACCATGACTGTGTCACTCCGCCATGACTGTGTCACTCCGCCATGACTGTGTCACTCCGCCATGACTGTGTCACTCCGCCATGACTGTGTCACTCCGCCATGACTGTGTCACTCCGCCATGACTGTGTCACTCCGCCATGACTGTGTCACTCCGCCATGACTGTGTCACTCCGCCATGACTGTGATACTCCGCCATGACTGTGTCACTCCGCCATGACTGTGTCACTCCGCCATGACTGTGTCACTCCGCCATGACTGTGTCCATGACTGTCACTCCGCCATGACTGTGTCACTCCGCCATGACTGTGTCACTCCGCCATGACTGTGTCACTCCGCCATGACTGTGTCAACCAGCAGCTGTCTCAGTTTCCCCAGGGTTCAAAACTGACAAGATACAGTCGTATCGCATTGCTCTTGCTTCCATTGCGTTGCAGCTACAACCTCGTATCTAGTCCCTCCTCCACGTGTATCTAGTCCCTCGTCCACGTTGTATCGGACCACCACTTCACCACAACAACTCCGCTTCAGGTCTGTTGATAATACTCACTACACTTGTTGTCATGACTCACTACACTTGTGTACCCGTGCACAGTTATGTAACCGAAGCACCTCAAACAAAACCACGGCTCCGTTTCGTGCTCGTGTGGTGTGCCTGGTACCTGGCGTGTACGAGCTATAGATCACCCCGAACTGGCAGCTGCAAGTGAGGCACCTGGGGCGAGGCACATGGGGCGAGGCACGTGGGGCGAAAAGGAGAGAAACGAAATGAGGAGGCCAGTCCCAGCTTGGCTTTGCGGATTTGAACTCCCTTCCATTTCAATCTCTTCCAACGATCCTAGGCAGCCATTTCGTTTACACTGAATGACACGCGCATTACTCACAGCCCTGTTCCGTATGTTGTGTGACACAAACCCAGCAACCAATGACCGCGCTGCAATGACACTCACCTCTTCTGCTCGTAGAGCTCCTTCGTTTCCTGGTGGAGGGCGGAGGGTGGAGGGCGGAGGGCGGAGGGTGGAGGAGAGAAGAAGAGGAATCAGAGTGTGAGACAGACAAAGGGCAGACGGTATGGCAGGTGAAGATGAGAGGTAGGATTAGATGTAGGATGAGAGGTGAAAGCTGGTCTGCCCAACTGATGCTAGCCCACTCATGCTTCCTCTTTGGTATAACAAGCTTCCACAACCTTTAAGTTCGGCTTGTGTGTTAGTTAAATAAGCTAGGCATTATTATTCACTTCAGAATCTTCAAAAAGCTTACACCACATAACAAATCTAATACCCGCAACACCCGCCAAGGGAAGGCCACATCAATCTCACAGGATACCTATCGCTCATTCCTGCTGCATCTCACCACCACGTGCTGCATCTCCCCCAGCAGCGCCTCTGCTGGCTCCGCCAGTGTCTGCTGCAAGTGCAGGCTCTGAGGGCATGTGGGCATGTGCCATGGGGGAGACGAGAGGGCGGCGGGGGGTTAGCAGACACAAGGAAAAGGGGTGAGCAGTGAGATGGGAGTGGGGAAAAGGGAAATGGAAGAATTGAAAGGCGAAGCAGATTCCCTCACATGGAAATAGAGCAGCTCACATGGAAGTAGAGCAGCTCACATGGAAGTAGAGCAGCTCACATGGAAGTAGAGCAGCTCACATGGAAGTAGAGCAGCTCACATGGAAGTAGAGCAGCTCACATGGAAGTAGAGCAGCTCACATGGAAGTAGAGCAGCTCAGCTAAGAGGCCATCGACAGCGGCGGCGGCCAGGAGGGTGTCCCCGGCGCTGCCCTCCTCCACTCCGCCAAAGGCGTCCGCCACCACCGCCGCCAGCTGGTGCAGCGCCTCCGCACACTCTGATGCGCGCAGGGGGGAAAGAGAGGGGCGGGATGAGAGGTAGGGTGGCAGGGCGTGCAAAGTGGATGGCGAAGGAGCGAGTGGCGGTGGCACGAATGCGGTAATGAGGGGAGAGGGGGGGGGGGGGGATGCAGCGAGGGATGTGAGCATGCGGTGGGGCTGGGCTTGCACGGACAGAGAGAAGCGAGAGCGGGTGGGGGTGCAAGGAAGGATTGAGTACTAGTTCAACTGCACACGCTTCAACGTCCACCCAAGAGCGCACCTGCTGCTCTCAACGTCCACCCAAGGGCGCACCTGCTGCTCTCTCCTGTGCGTCCGCCACGGCTGCCAGCAGGCGCTCGTATTTGTCCCTCATCTCCCCCACCTCCTGCCATCCATGGCGCATGGGGCATGGGGCACAGAGCATGGGGCATGGGACGTGGGGCATTGGGCACGGGGCATGATACGGGGCACGGGGTATCGGGCATGGGGTATGGAGCAGTGGGGATGGGGAGTGGTGCATGGCTGCGTGGTGCATGCTTGGGTGAATGCCCCACGCACCTGCAAGCCCTGTTGAAACTCGTCCTCTATGGAGTCTGTCTGCGTCACCGCCATGCCCCTTATCCCCTCTGCCGCGCTGCTGCTTCTCATTCTGCCCGTTCCGCCCGCCTGCTGCGCGCCTGCCGGCGTCCCCGAGGCCCTCTCCGCTGTGCGCGCATCGGCTGCTTTGCCCTTCGCCGCCAGCCTAGTCAGCCGCTTCCACTGCTTCATGCCGCCGCCGCCACCACAGTGCTTTAGCGCGGGCGCACTGTTAGGGCGAAAAGGCCTACGCACTACGGGGGCTAGCCGCGTCTTTCCCCTCTCGTCTTGTGGTGGTGTGACTAGACCCGCGGTGCGCGCGACATTACTCTCCGCTGCCGATGGCTATTCGGGAGGTTGAGGGCGGCCTTGGAGGCGGCGGCAGCTGCATCTTGATAACCTAAGGTAATGACGTCGCTGCGAGTTTGCCGGTTCGCATTCGACTGAATCGTTCGTGAAAAAAAACGCGAGCGCAGAGGCGGGCCGTGCAGCGGCGGGGCGGCGGGCGCGCTGCCAGGCGGCCTCAGCGCGGGTGACGCGGCCAAAGCGACAACCTCGATGCGCCCATCCCTTGGCGCACCACACGAGAACACTACAGTACGCTGCGCGTTCGACCCGACGACGGACACTGCGAGGCTACGAGATGCGCGGGAGGAGGCAAGTACGTGCTGGACTGTGCTCTGCCTGTGCGACGCCTGAAAAATCAATCTCCGCCAGCGACGACCATTACTGCAAATCAACACTACGTGAGCAAACAATTTGACGGAACTCGTTATTATAGCAAATCTCTCCCTACACACCTTTATGCTTTGGAACAAACAAGTGAGGAATGCACCAAGAAATGGAGGAAGTACAGGTTAGGGTCTATCTCCAAACGTTTGAGGCGAGCGATTGCGATCGATCGCCTCAATCTGACGCAGAATTTGGATCGCAAATTTGGATTTGATGGCGACATGCGCGATTGATAACTAGCCCCACCGAGTTTCGCCTTTTCTCGCTGCTATAGAGTATGTCGTCATTTGGCGAGAGAAGTGGGCTACTGTGTAATCGTGCGGAAGGCACGAGTCACTAGCACGGAAGACACGGTGGTGGTGCTGCCAATTTACGGCGCAATTGATTCGCCAGATCGCGCGATGCGAGGTGGAATGCCGATTGCAAGCGACGAACCGATCCGATCAATCGCAATCAGTCCTAGATCGCCTTGATGTCGTCGTTTTTCCTACGTTCCTTTATTGCTTTCGCTTCCTTTCTCTTTCCTCTTCTTGCGTCGTTTTCCTACATGTCTTACCTTTTCTCCTCCGTTATTCTTTAGATGCTTTCGTAGTTTCTTCTCTGCTCCTTTCTTCCTAAGTTGACGTTCATTTGTTACTTCCCTTTTCAGTCGTCGCCTCTCTTCAAGTCAACCGTATGTTCTTCTTTCTTCCTTCCTCGTCTTATCTTTCGTTCCTTCATTCTTCTTGTTACTCGAAATACTATCGAGGATTACAATCGCTGGCTTTTTATATGATGTGTTTCCTTTCTCTTTCACCCTATGCTATCTCCTTCATAGCATCATTATTTTCAAATGTCATTTTCTGTTTTTGATTCAAGAGTGCACTTTTCTTACCTTCCCGTCATAAGCTTCTTATGTATAGCTCTCTAGACTTCTTTGTTCCGTCTTATCCATTACTTTGTTATTGCAGATACTGGTTCATTGGTGGGATGGGATGTGTTACGATATGAAGTTTTATGAGAAGGCATTCCTGTATGCTGCAGGAGCCGACTCTACCGAGTACGAAGTCGAGGAGTCAGAAGAGTCGAAGCGACGCAGCAACCGTCTGACCAAGACCGATGCAGGCAGAAACATTTGAAGTGAAAAGAGCGGCAACAGGTTTGAAACGGGTTCCCGCGCCGCACGGTTTGAATTCGGTTGTAATAAGGGAATGTACCCCTTATAGTACATGGCTAGTCTAGGACTTTTCGTATTCCCCTGTATTCTTATATAAACTCGATGTATGCATGCTATTATCAACTCAGTCATTTACATTCACTCTGACCTGAGATTCAAACATCCGCTGCTATGAGATTGTAACATGGTATGAGAGCTACTCAGAGATTCTTCGCAACCTCACTTCCGTGAAATTCGCCGAACCAAGATCTGCCGAGCGGCACACGCTCCAAGACCAAGATGGCCGGAGGATCCGGAGGCCTAATCTAACGGCTGAAGGACAATCCAACCCGGCTGCGACAAATGAGGCGACAACCACGATCGGCTCTGCCGCCCTCGAGCAATTCTTCGCTCGACTTTCAACCATGGAGAAAGAACTCCAAGACCTGTGCAAAGGCGATGCGGGAACCTCTTCCCAACCAGCACAACCTGGACAACCGGCTGAGAAAAGCCGTGATACCACCGCGCACACCTTCTCCTTCGACACAGACAAATGAACAACAACTGCCCCCCGTCCAAGTGATGAAGCTATCAACTCTGCGCAAGCACGCTTTCTTAGCGTTTCAAAAATCAAAACTACTGCCGCGTTCGACGGCAAGGACTTCTACACATGGAGTTTCGAGCTTGAGCTCCTCCTACAAACGGCGCAGATCTACCACTACTTCGACGCTCCTACTCTAAACCGGTGGAAAACACCGAAGTCGCCAGGGCTCAGTACTACAGCGAGTCCCTCATGGCCTACAGTGTGCTGCTTCGCAATATGACGCCTGCGGAACAACTCAACATTCGCTCCTACAAGGAGAGCGACGCTCCAGCCTTGGAAGCTTGGAAGCATCTCGTTGAAGTTTATCAGCCGAAGGATTCGGTCACCGCCAGCAGGCTTCTGCAGCAACTCCTGGAGATAAAAATGGGGCACGGGGAGAAGGCAAATCCGTATATTAACCGCTGTCGTAACATCCGTGACCAGATCACGAAGCATGGGAGTACAATCTCGGAAGAGATCTTCGTCAACATAGTCCTTCAAGGACTCGGGCCAGAGTGGAAGCCCTGTAAAGCGCTACTCCGACAGCGAGGAATCATCTCAGAAGCCGCGCTATGCGCCGCACTCCTGTCCGAACAGCAGGACATGGACTCGAGCAGAACAAGCTCCGCGCCGCGCCGAGAGCGCCTCGCCTTCTACGCAGACAACCGAGAAGAGCGACGACAGCCAAGGTGCCATTATTGCAAAATATGCAAAGTCTTCGGACATTCAACGGATCGATGCAAATCCCGATCCAACTTCCGCCACCCAAATTCCACTCACCACAACAACTGGGTCGGCCGACAAGACACTCGTCACTCTCAGCCTCAGCATCAGACAGTTCGCCCTCCTGCACAGCACCAACACCAACAAAGCCAAGGATCTCAGTCAGGAGCTCCCAGAAACATCATCGCGAACATGGCGACGCGCCGACGCCGCACTACTGAGCCTGACGAAGAAACCGAAGTCCAAGGAAGACTTCTGGAACCAGAAGAGGGTTGGAATAATCCCCTCACTGAAGATCACTATTACCTGTATGACGAGGACGAGCAGGATTGGAATCAGCCAATCACTCTGCGGGAAAGCCCGCCACACGACAATCAGCACTACGTACCGGTGGGATGGAAGGAAGAAGAAGACCCTTCCTTCCACAGGCGCTACAAGTCAACACTGGTGACTCCGCGACTGGCGCTGCTTCTGCGCAGGAACAACACCGACAACTACAACACCTGGTACCTGGACAGCTGCTGCGGACAGCATATGGTGGGATCGACGCGATACGTCTCGAACCTGAGTCGCGCCCTCGCAACCTACGTCACAGTCGCCAACAACGAGCAGCTGCGCGCCAATTCCCAAGGCATCGTCGTCCTGCAAGCACGAGATAGCAACACTCACATCTCCTTCAACGACGTCCTCTACGTCCCGAACCTCCGCTTCAATCTACTATCAGCTGGTCAACTCCGCGACTGTGGAGTCATAATTAACACGGATCTTGCCACGCGCGACCTCATCCTCACCTACGCTCCCCCAGACACACCTCCCGAGTCGTTCAAATACCTCGGACGAGCCCGTTCAATCAACGGGATCTACATCCTGGACTTCGACGTACCCTCCTGCCAAGCGTCGTCAGACGAACTCGTGGACCTCGTTCCCCTCGAGTTCGCATTCATGAACAAAGAATCATGGGAGCATCCGGACGGTCGACCATGGGTTCGCCGCAGTCCTCATCCCCGCGAGATCAACCTGCACGAGCCATATATCAATGGGTTGTGCACAACATGCCACACACCCACGGCAAGCCGCACGGAGCAAGTTGAACGGGAGTACGCCGCAATTCAGGAGGCGGAGAGCGCTGAGGCAGAACCTACAGGCATGACACGTGAAGAACTCGCCGTGTCATCTCACCGCATCTTCGGTGAGCCAAATAAACAATTCGGGCAGTCGCGGGTGGACAGACCAAGGCCCTATTCGGACACCCTCCGCTTCGTTCTAGAAGCCAACACCACCACCCTCGACGAAGACGGAGAACCGCGCCCATACACCCGCGAATACTACCGTCACGAGATTGATCCAACCTGGAAGGACCCTGACGCACCAGAGGAGCTGAGCGTCAAGGAAGAACAGGATAAGGCCCGGGCGGAAAAGAAACAAAAAGTGTATGAGGATCGCATCGCGGCAGGATGGGATGAACAATCAGCACGCGGAGGATGGGGCGACGAGGATACCAACCCAGAACACGGCGCAACCTGGGCATCCGCCACTGGAGCATGGGGAGCCAGCGCCAGCGGCACCGCCACCACGGGAGGCTGGGGCACAGCAGAACCCGAGGAAGGGGAGCTCACGCATGAAGAGTTGGAGGAAGCTGAACGAGAGATGCAAGCAGAATGCGGAGACGCACCACCCCGCGCTGTCATTCCTCTCGGACGACCCCCACGCACTCGCGAACGACCTCGCTCACCTCATCGTTGGAGCGATCCCTGGTCAGAGATTGAGGAGGGGAACATACCACCAACACCTCCGCGGGACTCACTTGGTCCAATCTCCCGCCCAGATCCGTTCGCGCGCTTCATCGAAGGCACCACGACCCCGCTCACCATCATCCCCGACCGCGAATTTCTCGCCCTTTATCTCACAACGGCACCTGCAGAAGGAGAGACAACGGCAGAAGCAGAAGCAGAGGGGCCAGACAACGAAGCAGAACCAGGAGAAGAAGAAGAACCTCCACTCCGGATACCGCAACTCACG